TTCTGCCTGACGCAGAGGCAATCTTTCTTGGACGGCTTGAATCTCATTTGTTTGAGCCTTTTGTTCAATTTGTGTTTCCAAATACTTGCGGTTTGCTTCAGCCCGTATAATCCTTTGCGAAGACAACAGACGACGTTTTCTCCATCCGCTGTGCATCCGAAAGGCAGCCGCATGTAGATTGCTTCTTGCAGGTCTCCATTCAGGTACGCTGTCTTGACATAAGCATACTTGATGAGAAGCTTCTTCTGGCAGGCGACGGAGAATAGTGCTCGGAACGTTACTTGCTTCACCACGGGAGCAAAAATTTTATCATAGTTGACTCCATATGTCTGCGTGAAGGCTTGCACAACTAGCCGCGGCTTGTGTCGGATGACCCTTCCATTCTCGTCCGTTTTCTTTTTGAAAATCCAGCGACATCCACTGGTTTTCTTACCAGTCGGCAAGGTCGTCAACTCCCACACGTCGTTTTCGTACACGCTTCCACAAATCCTTCTCCGGACCAGCCACTGCCCGTGATACGGCACGTTTTCCTATTCTGTGCAATCCATTGAATATGAATTCATTTGACTCAGCATCCGATCGAATGACGAAAAATTTGCTAATCAAATGCATCGCAAATCTTTCGACACCCCATACCATCTCTAACGCCTCTTCTGGGTTTGTGGATCCTTTTTCTCGGGCTTTTGAAGCGCAAGCAATCACTCGTGGATTTGATTCTGAATTGTACTGTACCAAAACGGCGCCCAATCCATAGGGCGAAGCATCAACGAAAACCTCAGTCTCGTCATCGCAGCTATAACATCCTAGTTTATCAACCGTCTTCCACGCTTCATTCTTCAAAAACTCGAACTCCATTTCAAGATCTTCGCTCCAATAAAACTTGTCTGATTTGGCCAACTCCCGTAGTCTCCAGATCCTGTCTACCCGATTGAAGATGGCTATTCCGAGAAAGCTTTTCACCTCGACTTGTGTTTGTGGTCTCGGGAAACTCTGCAATGTCTTAACTTTTTCATTTTCTACACTCCAGTTATTAGCCGATAGAATGAACCCCAGGAATTTTACAGATGTTTTGCCAATTGCACACTTGTCCAAATTGATCTTAACGTTGTAATTGTTGAGACAGTCCATTACATTCTTGAGGTTGGCATCGTGCTCTTCCTTAGTCTTGTCTGACACAAGAATATCATCTAAGTAGTTGATGGTTCCTCTGCAGCCTGTGAGTACTATAGACTGCAGCATTTCCTGAAATATGTCTGGTGCATTGCACAATCCAAATGGAAGCCTATAGTACCGGTAAACACCATCTCCAGTGAAAAAGTTCGTAAAATGGCGGAGACCCTGATCTAATTCTACGTGAAAAAAAGCGTTGGTTAAATCAATCGTAGAGAACCAGTGCCATGAAGCTCAAGGAAAATCGAATCAAATGTCGGCATTTTGAATGGAGTTCTGTTGATACACCGGTTAGGACCTCTCAAGTCTACAGCTAACCGAATATTGTCCTTGCCTTTGGGTACAACCAGTAGCGTAGAGCAAAAAGATCTGTCCATGTCCGGAGACACGACTTCGATAATACCTGACGACAGCAATTCAGCTAGCTTTTGCTTTGTTCGCTCCTTATAAACAGGGGGTATTTACAACAATCAATACGAAACTAACGATTTTAAATTGGCTCACCACTTTAGTAGCCTATTGGTCCCAAGCAAACGATTAACGTACCCTATTCTAGTTGAAATTCTATTGCTACACTATGTTTGTTTTGATTCGCTATGAAAGTTTGACAGATAACATCAGGGGTGTGTGGATTCATGCAGAACATGCAGGGGTGAGTGAAATAGCTTGGGACTGCTTGGGACCGTTGTTCTGGTACTGAGTGAGCCAAAAATAATAATGATTTTCTTCGGGACCCAGTGGTCTTAGAGTTACCTCTATGGTATTTACATAGAGCGAATTCTAAGACCAGGTCCCGAAGAAACGTGCTCAACTTTTTGGCTCAGCTCTGGTACTATCTTCAGTCCCAAGCTAATCGATGTACCCCTCGAAACATAGGAAAATCCATGAACCCCTCATTTTATCTGTCAAACTTTCAAAGCTAATCAAAACAAACACAGTGTAGTACTAGAATTTCGTCCAAAATGGGGTACGTTAATCTATTTGCTTGGAATCAATAGGCTCGTCAAGTAGTGAGCCAATTTCAAATCGATAGTTTCGTATTGATTGTTGCTATAAACGTAAAAACGTTTCGCGCTAGTGGCATTTCCTTGTTGTACCAAAGTGATACAGGTGGAACATTGAACCGCGGGAACAGTTCAGATGCTGATAATGCTAATAGCTCACCGGGCAACACAACACGTTGAACCCACCGACAGGTACCTTCAAACCAACCGCAAGGACACTGTATCTAGCCGACGTATTAAAGCCAAGCAATGATTTGGCTTCAGTAGAATTTCTCTATAAATATCGGCCCATCTTCGGAAATGAACAACTCAGCTGAAAACGTCGCGATAACTTCAATATCTCCCTTAGACGCGTATGCTTTTAATGGTCTATCTGTTGCATAAAACAAGTCATACAACTTACGCGCGGAAGTTTCTTCGGCCAAGATCCTCTCGAAATAAACTTTGGTTATGACTTGAGCACCAGCGTCAACTAAGAACTTAATGTCAACTCCTGCTACCTGGGCTGCAATTATGGCATTACTTTCATCTGGTAATGAATCCAACTTTTCGACTTTGTTCACAACAGTCGTTTCGTTGCCACTTTCCGTGGAGCAGCTTGAAATTATTTCGGAACTCAGCTTTACTTTTGAAGGTTTGATCTTAGGATTTTCCTTGGTGTCTTCATCGGTATTGCCGAGTGCACCGATGAATTTGAGTTCACTCACTCGAGAAAAAGTGACACAAGCTGCGGGCAATGTTTACTAATCATGAACGCTAAATGTTCATGAATAATGAATACCATAGAGGTAACTCTAAGACCAGAAGGTTCCGAAGAAACGTGCTAAGCTTTTTGGCTCAGCTCTGGTACTATCTCCGGTCCCAAGCTAATCGATTCACCCCTCGAAACATAGGAAAATCCACTAACCCCTCATTTTATCTGTCAAACTTTCATAGCGAATCAAAACAAACATTGTGTAGTAGTAGAATTTCGAGAGAATGGGATACGTTAATCGTTTGCTTGTGACCAATAGGCTAGTCAAGTAGTGAGCCAATTTAAAATCGTTAGTTTCGTATTGATTGTTGGTACAGTGCAGGAACCCATAAGTAGGTAAAGCGGGTCAAAGTAATTTTCATTTACTTGTGTGCAGTTCGTATGGAATTTTCCACTGGCTTTTTAACCAAAAGTAAGTTTGCTGTACCCAACAGTAGGTAAATATGATTATACTCAACGTTGGGTTCCCACACTTTATTACCCCTGTTGGGTGGTTTTGCTCCTCCGCTTTTGACAACATTAGAAGGAGAAAAGGAGACAAACTAGTCAAAAGTAGGTAAAAGTGAACTGGCTGTTGGGTACTTTTTTCTTACCGTGCAATCGACGTTTCAGCGGCCGCTGAGAACCACGGGAAGGACATGTGCGAGCGAGATGACCTTTACGCGCACAAATTCGGCACACCTCCAGCAAACACTGGTTCCCAAATTTGCAGAACCTCTTGACGTTCCTTGTCCAAAATTGCCTCTACGTGCATCTCCGAAGCGGTATCTGGTAGGACGGTTCCAGCCAGGCCAACCCTAATAAAAATAACCATAAACGAACGATAACCCAAATCATTGAACTATTCCACAAATGGTTTGGATGATACCCAGAACACGTCGTTAAGCAAATTAACCATACAATTTTTATTAGGGAACGTCCAACGAATTGGGTGTGATTTTTTCTCCTCTTTGTTGTTGATTTCGATGCTGGGCAATTGTTAACAGACGCTACTGTTGCGTGACGATTTCGGTTTCTCTGGAACTCTCCCTCATTCAGCTTTTCAATGTCTCGATCACGTACTAGGTCAATGAGGTCCTTGAGTGATCCCTGGTTCACCCAATTCCTGTTAGCTAATACACGAACTCGACTATCGATATTCCCTTTTGTTATGGTTCGCACAACTGCTTCCATTTCTTCATCTCCCGAATAACCACACCGTTAAGCTGCGGCTCCAACACGCCTTACAAACAGATTGTTGCCTTCGTCTGATTCTTGTACCATGCTCATTAGTTTGCTTCGCTGTGCCAGCATGTACGTTCTAGAGCCAAAAAATCCATCCAGTCTTGAAAAAGCGTTGGAGTAGGGATTCGTTGTCTCGTCAGGCATTTCCGGAGCTGAAACAGTGCAATTCAAAATCTCCATTAGCATTGCTTAGTTTCTTTGGCAACCGATTTTTCGCTTCTAGAAACGTCATTCTGGTTTTGCTTCTGCCACATTCTGCAGTCCCGCTTCTTGTGACCAACCTTCTGGCAGTGGTAGCACACAATGGGTTTCGCCTTCCCGTCCACCTTCAATACCGATGAATCCGCCGGAGCCGTTTCTCCTTGCTCCTCCTCAACCAGAAGAAGATTTCAGTAGTATTTTTTTACTTAGTAAATTGTAGTCGAAATACGTATCTGTCGTGGATACAAAATACTCAGTGGAATCAAATGGGCAATAATCCCCTTTTTTGCTCTTATGAGCATTCCACTAACAACTTTATTCATAACTTTCATGGGATTTATTGCAGAAAAAGGATTTATTTGCTTGAACAGCCAAGTTGAGGGGCTATGCCCGTAACTTTAACACATATCGGACTCGATTATCTATAGGCTCCGTAGATCTCCACATACAATCGGGGCGATTAGCAAACCAAATTGATCTGTTTTGGGGGGTGAAATTTAATACATTTACGTTATCATATGAAACGGATGCTTTACTTCCCTGGTTCCGCTAGAACACCACTACTTGGAAACCCCCTTTTCCATGAAAAAAAACACTGAATCCTTTGTAACGCCTCACCTTCTCTGTCTGCTTTTTTTTTTGCACAGACCACATCAAATAACATCGCTTCCGGGTGCACCAACATCCACTCCCACCACAGCAGCGGCACTGAACCAGCAACCACCAACCGATGCTATCGCCATATCGCCGTCGTCCTCTACCGCAAGTCAACAACAGCAACATCAGGCGACGATAATTGCAACCTCTCCGACCCCGTCCAGCTTGGTCGATGCACCGAGCACCGACGAGATGATGCTGCACCGGGGCGTTCGGCTGGTTACTGCCTACTTTCACTCGCAAAGCGAACCACCCCCGCTGAATATCCTATCGACGTCATGCATCAAACACGAAGCCCCCGGCGGCGCCTGTATTGCTGCAAATGGTGAACAGCCCGATCATGGTCGCGGTTTCCAGTCAATTGTGGTGCAACAGGAGCCGGGTGCGGTGGCACCGATACCACCACCACCCACGGAACAACTCCAGTTAACCGTATCCGATATGGTTAGTCTTCCGCCCTTGCAGCTCATTGCGACCAGCAACCTGTGAGAGCGGTAAGTTTGAGTTATAATGTTGGATATTCTTTCCTCTGTCGATTCAGTCATTTATTTCAGTTGTTTCGATTTTCCGAAACGGATTTTATGTTTGTTTTTGCTTACGTTTATCAAAGTTCGTTCTACACTAATGATTACTAATATATTTAACCAAGAAGTAAAGAGTTGCTGATTTGCGTGTTGGTTTTGGAAAGAAATCCTTGTAAACCAAAAGTATTGATGCAAATATTGACGACGAAAATGTTGATGAACATATTGCCGTTTCAGGGAAAATAATTCGACCCAACTGACAGCCATAACATGATATTAAATCTGATAATCTGACGCCAAATGTTAATTTTTCTCTGAATTGGCACCATCCTACACGATTGCTTTGACGATAAGATTCTATATTGATGTCAATACATCGGTATTGACAATATTTAATTTTTTGACATCATCAATATTAGTGTATGCTTGGGAAGTTCCAGCACCGACAAATCGACATGAATGACCATAGCTAAATCAATAAAATTTCTGACCAAAGCACACTACTGACATCTGGCTCCGTGTTCGCGGAAAATATATAGCTAAGCCATGAACCTGCATGCAAAAGTTATGAATTGGTTCATGTCTGATCTATTCTGGACAAATTATTTTTATCTAGATCAAAAAATCCGGGCATAAGTCAGAATTAAGTGTCATGTCGGTTTGTCGATGGTTCCAGGTCCACAATACATACATACACTAGATGGGCAGTTCTTTCCTTAATGGCACTGGTTTACTATATTTAAATGGCAATGCTTTATTGGTACAACCAGTCATTGTTCAGTAAACATCTTCCACATGTTCGCAGTCGTTGATAACGGAACATCATCAGAATCGAACATTTCGAAACATGTCAAGTGATCAATTGTTGTACATTCTCATCTACTCTACCGTCGTTACCCTAGTCGTTGCCTTATCCTATATTTTTCTCTTTGAAATCGTCGATCTGTTTCATCACGAAGGTCGTCAACATATCCGCCTTTTGAACTGCTTGTTCGTTCGTTATGAATTGCATGTCCTGTAGCGATCTTGAAGTTCCGGTGAAATTGTTGGGATAAGAGACCTTGAGAGATAAATTTGAAATTGTTACATCCAGTTGATCAGATCCGTCTTCAATCTTACCTTATGCCTAGCAATCGACCGTAGGACCAAAATCAGAATGTAGAAACAGAAGTACAAGGTAAAGTACAGCGGGACGTACCACAGCGTTCGACTGAGGTAGAAGTAGCTGTAGGCTTTGACTCGAGCGGTTCCATATTCCAGTGGCGGTGGTGGTAGAGGAGCCAGATTTGTTGTCGGCGACGTATCGTCACGGTCGTAGTCGAAGTCTTGGTCGTGATCGACAGCAGGTATCACTGGAATGGTTCCGGTAGGTGGAGCTGGAGAAGGTGATGGGGGAGGTGGAGGGGATGAGGGTGGATTTGCTTTGGAGTCGTTGAATGAGGTAGCTGAAAGAATGTAAAGTGAAAGTAGTTCGGTGTTACAGTTTTCAAAAATCAGACGAAATTTTGCTGTAATTTGCGTTGTTGTTTAAGGGCAATTTACTATTGCTGTATATTCTTTTTCTTCCTTTTTCGTGTGATTCTTGGCTGTCCGTTCCAACTGGAACTTTATTTATTAGAAATGTGATAAATGTTTTGAGTGTACAACTTTGTCTCAGACGTCATTTCGATTGGCGCATGCTATGGATTCTTGAAAAATATCGAATACGCCATTAAAAAAAAAAGGGCGTTGTAAATTGCCCCTAGTGAAAAATTATGCGAAGTTTCATTGAATTCGGAGAGGCAAACATAAAATCGTTTCGTCTGTTGGCGTGGAACTGCTCTACACACTTAGATTTTTTCGCCGAGATGGGCACCACCGAGCAGCTCGGCATTTTATTTTGCTGGATCTCAGTGAAAAACTTGCCGAGATTCAGCTAACAAACGGGAATTTTGCCGAGATCTCAGCTAACAAACATATTTTTTGCTGAATTTCCAGCAAAATAAAATGCCGAGCTGCTCGGTGGTGCCCATCTCGGCAAAAAAATCTAAGTGTGTAATGTGTTAAACTCGTTCTGAAGACATTGATGGATCATGTTCTGTTGAGTACGTGTCTTAAAACTAGAGGCGTCCTGAAATGAGCCAAACTAAAGCGATATTTGAAATACATGATAATTTGAAATCATGATCAATGGTGGTCATATTGAGTATACAGGCCTAAAAGGTTGGTTAAAAGCTGGGTACTGCGGATTGGCTTGTCAACTAAAGTCTGTTTCACTTATAATCCGGACCCTTTATTTATTCTATAGCAGTGGTCGGATTTGGAATGTTTTGACAGCGATTTGTTTTGAAAGTACACGTGTTTCAGCGGTGAAAGTTTCGTCTCGATACGTACAGTATTAACCACAAACGAAGTGACAGACGGAGCGGCTCGAAAACTTTGGTGACTAACCTGCTATTGCAATTTTTCAGTGTACCACATGGCAACACCACTACTACTGGATTGTACCACATGGCAACACTACTACTAGATTGAACTAGCATTTTCACCAAATGTACTAGAATGTTTTGGTACTATCTCTTTCACTCTACTCAAAACTGAAATGCATTAAAAAATGACAAAATGATACGCACTCTTTGCACACTGTCAAAGAATCATTGTACACAAAATCAACTTTGTTCAAATCAAAACAAAAAAACTAACCCATCCGGTGGATGATGGCACAAGCTTCCAAGAAAATCCTATTACAGTGAACCACATTATTTAAATGGATTTCTTCGCCAGTTAGTCGTCTGTCACTTCGTTTGTGGTATTAACAAAGTCGTACTAGATGGAAGACGAGAAAAGAAAACTGATCGACGTAGAAAACCCGACGTGGTTGAAAACTGCCGTTTCTACCATGGGAAATGTACTCAAGCGGTTCCTTGATCACAAGAGTGTGGCTCACAAGGTTCAAAGCAAACGTCGTGCTGGAGCTTTGGATCGGCTGCTGATCTGGAAGGTGTTGAGGTCGATCAATAGAAACCAACAAACTTAGATTTTTGCCGGGATGGGCACTACCGAGCTGCTCGGCATTTCATTTGGCTGCATCTCAGTGAAAAACTTGCCGAGATTCAGCAAAATTTATGTTTGTTAGCTGAGATCTCGGAAAAATCCCCATTTGTTAGCTGAATCTCGGCAAATTTTTTTCACTGAGATACAGCAAAATAAAATGGCGAGCTGCTCGATAGTGCCCAGACTTTAGAAGCCAAACAGCCAGAAGTTAGCAATGTACTTACTCTTCTTATTCATCGTCAAGTATTGTCATCTCATAGAAATTAATTACGTTCAAGCTACTAAAATTTGAGTTAAAAAATTGTTCACAAGCAAATGTAAATTACCTAAACCTGATTAACCCAACATTAGGTAGCCCCACTCTAGTTAGATTTGTGCGTGTAATTCGTTGTGACGTTTGTTTCACCATCCATTGAGTTCTCTACCACCGTTTGTATTAGTGAGCAGTTTCACTAATACATGCGTTTTGCTGGTTGAAAATAGAAAACAAACCGCTGTCAAGTCAAACACTTTGACATCTGATTTCGTCGTTGAAAATAATAAACAAATCGATTTTACACGGCTACACTAGCAACGTTGTATCACAAACGAAGTGACAGACGGAGCGGCTCGAAAACTTTGGTGACTAACCTGCTATTGCAATTTTTCAGTGTACCACATGGCAACACCACTACTACTGGATTGTACCACATAGCAACACTACCACAAACGAAGTGACAGACGACTTACTGGCGAAGAAATCCATTTAAATAATGTGGTTCACTGTAATAGAATTTTCTTGGAAGCTTGTGCCATCATCCACCAGATGGGTTAGTTTTTTTGTTTTGATTTGAACAAAGTTGATTTTGTGTACAATGATTCTTTGACAGTGTGCAAAGAGTGCGTATCATTTTGTCATTTTTTTATGCATTTCAGTTTTGAGTAGAGTGAAAGAGATAGAACCAAAATAGTCTAGTACATTTGGTGAAAATGCTAGTGCAATCCAATAGTAGTGTTGCCATGTGGTACAATCCAGTAGTAGTGGTGTTGCCATGTGGTACACTGAAAAAATGCAATAGAAGGTTAGTCACCAAAGTTTTCGAGCCGCTCCGTCTGTCACTTCGTTTGTGACACTACTAATGGATTGTAGCACATGGCAACACTAAATGTACTAGAATGTTTTGGTTATATCTCTTTCACTCTACTCTAAACTGAAATGCATAAAAAAATGACAAAATGATACACTCTTTGCACACTGTCAAAGATCATATTGCACACAAAATCAACTATGTTCAAATCAAAACATAATACATGATGGCAAAAGCTTTTAAGAAAATTCTATTACAGCGAACCACATTATTTTAATTGATTTCTTCGCCAGTTAGTCGTCTGTCACTTCGTTTGTGATTGTATTAGCATTGAGGTAACTCTAAGACTAGTAGGTCCCGAAGAAACGTGCTCAACTTTTTGGCTCAGCTCTGGTACTATCTTCGGTCCCAAGCTAATCGATACACCCCTCGAAACATAAGGAAAATCCACGAACCCCTCATTTTATCTGTCAAACTTTCATAGCGAATCAAAACAAACATAGTGTAGTACTAGAATTACGACTAGAATGGGGTACGTTAATCGATTTGCTTATGACCAATAGGCTAGTCAAGGAGTAAGCCAATTTTGAATCGTTAGTTTCGACCGGTTGGTATTAGTGAGATCTTGCGGCGAGAAGTCAATGGATCACCATCAGAATCAGGGGCGGGATGTGCTGTCAAATCGGCCTACTGAACATCCATCAATGAGATGTAAATATGTAAGACACAGTGAATTTGTCATCTCCCGCTGTAGAAACGTTTGAGGAGTGTGACGTCAAACTCCGTCATCCATTTAATCCACAAACGAAGTGACAGACGACTAACTGGCGAAGAAATCCATTAAAATAATGTGGTTCACTGTAATAGAATTTTCTTGGAAGCTTGTGCCATCATCCACCAGATGGGTTAGTTTTTTTTGTTTTGATTTGAACAAAGTTGATTTTGTGTACAATGATTCTTTGACAGTGTGCAAAGAGTGTATCATTTTGTCATTTTTTATGCATTTCAGTTTTGAGTAGAGTGAAAGAGATAGAACCAAAACATTCTAATACATTTGGTGAAAATGCTAGTACAATCCAGCAGTTGTGTTGCCATGTGGTACAATCCAGTAGTAGTGGTGTTGCCATGTGGTACACTGAAAAATTGAAATAGCAGGTTAGTCACCAAAGTTTTCGAGCCGCTCCGTCTGTCACTTCGTTTGTGATACTGGGCCTCCCCTTTTTACGCTCATTGAATTTCCATACGTGAATTTGGTTCCAAACATCAACAAACCATCGTTGGTTATTGAAGAATCAAAGTGACAATTAATCATGTTTTGTTGTTTTTGACATCATCCACATCCAGAGGGCCAGTCACTTCGAATGTATGGGAATGGTAGGAAACCATTTGGAAATGCATGAGAATTTTCAGTTTTTATCCATTATCGTCATAATGGGCAGTTTTAGATGCACAAAAATTGCACGAGTACATTACTATGGTGATAAGGTAAACACTCGTTTATTTGTTTCCTTCTGTGAAAGCATGTTTAGTTACAAATCGTGGATTTTCTGATATTCTCCATACTGCAAAAATGATTTTCCTACCACTGAAGGGGCGACATCTCTCGGATCTTCAGTATAGCTACTACTCAAATCATATAATTAATTGACTCACAGATGGCGAGAGGGTGAAATGACGTTTTGATATCTGTCAAATTGCATAATTTTTTTAGTACATCATCATTTTTGTAATTGCGGATCTAAAAACTGGGTGTCGCATGACAAGTTTTGGCTTTGCTTTCATTCGCCAATGGTTTTGTTGTCGTTTGGAACCAGTTATGCGTAAAGCTCTACAGTAAAAGCACAGACAAACAGACATAGCACATTGAATAATTCTCACTGTAAAACATCGTCGCTAAAACATTACCGCCATTTGTTGAGCACACTGTGGTGGGTAGTACGCTGAAAAGATGGCGGTAGTGTGTAAACGTCAAAAGCAAGGGAATTGACTATGCGCGCCACAGGTGGCGGTACGACCAACTACGATACTTTTAAATTGTCCGTTAAATGCTTGTTCGATGAACAACTTGCGAGTGTTATGTCTGTTTGTCTGTGGTAAAAGTATGAACGTCTGTGAAAAGTTGAACAGTTTTTTTTTCAGTTTTTTGGTGACAGTTGTCCATACTTTAACTAGAGGGCTTTAGTTATGCGAGATAGGCGACTATTGTTCGTATTTGACAGTCACCTCCCCCCAGATCAGAATTGGCGAATCAAAGCAAAGCCAAAACTGGTCATACACGCTAACTTGAAAGTACTCATTAATGAGTAAAAAAAGACCCATTTTGAAGAAAAGTGGCTTAACTCATTAATGATTAAACAATTTTACCCATTAATGAGTATCTGTTACCTGTCAATCGTCACTTTGATTCTTCAATAGATATATTAAATTTGGATAAAATTTTGGATTTTATCTTGTTCGTATCCAGCTTTCCATGCTCGGTGATGGCGGCCTGTTTGTATGAATAAATGTATCCTTCACTGTGCTTTTTGAAACTAACTGGAGGGCGTATGTTGTTCCATTTTCTTCTGTTCCTGGGAGAGGGAAAGGGAGGGGTCAAAATTCGAACATCCAGATAGTGTCAAAAAGCACAGGGAAGGATACACTTATTCATAAGCTGGATACAAGTTATCATTCGGCGATCCTGTCAAAAGGATATTTTTGTTAAACGAATGATTCACCAATTTCATCGACCCTTTAAATCTATCTTTTTGAATCTAAAATCAACAATGACGACTTTCGGCTTTATGCAAACTGTCAACAACTCTGCTGTATGGATGTTATGCAATAATAATGATCTGTTATGCCGGATTAATTACGCTGTTTTAGAGTATAATATACAGACTTCCGGTTTTCTAAAGTCCAATTGGGTGATTTTTGGTTTTTGAAAAACTGATAAATTCTCATCAATATGGGTATTTTCAAAACAGAAACTAAGAGTATTAGCATAGAGGTAATTGATGAATTTACGTGATGGTCGACCAGCAAATGGAAATTATGTGAAAAATTATAATGACGCTTTGCTACCTGTCAAATCGTATGGAATATTTTTTAGTAAATCATCAGTATTATAGTTGCAAATCTGAAAACTAGGTATTGCATGGCCAATTTACCTTTGCTTAAATTCATCAATTCTAAAGCCTGGTACGCAGCTGAAAAGAAAACGGAAAATACATTTTTGGGGAATATTTCCAAAAGTAAATTTGACAGCTATAAAGAGGTGTCTTTTGCTGAAATTTGAGATCATAGCAAGGTGTCGTCAAATTTTAAAAAACAATTGGGTTCTTTAAGCGTATTGAGGTAAATGCATAATCGTAATCTGCATTAAAAATAGAACCCAAACCCAAAATTTCATCAATTTTGGTACACTGGAACTATTTTAAATAAGCACGATTACATTTGCAAAAATCACCTTATTAGCGCCCATCGGTTTCACTTTGTATGGGAGCGAGCTGTCAGTTTGTTAGTTTAGCGTCAAACAGTGAAGTTATTATTTTGCTTCAAATCTTGATTTAAAAATCGAGATGAAAGTGTGTGGATTCGAAAAAAATATCGCTGTGCTCAGAAAACGAAGCTCTTTCAGATGATGTATGAAAAACGATACATTTTTCAAAACTAAAGAACCCAATTATCAGTTTTTATGTTGTTAAAATACTACAATAGATCAAATTACTGGTCGCAGTAGTTTTATGTCCCGAACAGAGAAAAAAAAATGTTGTTAAAATGCATCCAAAACATCATTTTTACAATAAACGTTAAAATTACCTTACGAATGAATGATGAAGCATCTGAATTTTCAATGATTTACTGGTTGATTTGTGTCAGCTTGTGTTGTCTAAAATCGTACTTAAATCATTCATGTTTGGGATGATAATCATTTGAATTGCTTTGAACCCATTTGGCTATGAATCGGATGACGATCCAAAACCATCTGATCATAATAATAGAGCTTGGTTGAGACAATAATCGTTCGATCATAAGAGGATGTTTTCGTTCAGTGTGGAGGTTTGAAAAGCAGACTTTTTTTTCAGAATTCCATGCGCCAACTGTTGGAAATAGTGTAGTAATCCAAAGAGCACAACTAGAGTGGCTCCACATATCGATTTAGCTCCAGCAAGGTTAATCGATTTCAAATCACGTTCTGGTTATTCTCCCAAAATTTCAGCTCATTTGGATGCGAACTCATTCTACGCTGGCCCTTTGAAGTTTATATGGGATTTACTATGGGCAAAGTGAACTTTTTGTTCTCATCGATCTAGCCTTTTTGATGTAATTCTTCTGACATGCTCCATATACTGCTCAGTAGGCAACATTGGTGTGCTTGGCACGAAGAATAGGGCAAAACATCCAAGCTAGTATGTCATAAGTGCAAGATGCAGTGTTGCCCTGAAAGCAGTCGATTAATCATATTAACTTATTACCTTGAAGCAAATATATTATATTAACAATATGATCTACTCTTTCGCTTAGTTGGCGAACCGAATTTTTAGCGATGAAAGCGCCTCTGTGGTCAAAAGGGCTACCACTGTATTTATTTATCTTCCCAAGGGGTAAACCAATTGAAAATTTCCATAATATTTAAAATGTATGTATTTTCGCATATTATTTTATTTGACACGTTGGACAAATTTTCATGTTATATACGAAATGTAATTAATGAAAATAATTTGATTTTTATTTTTGTAATAAGTGCTATAATAAGTGCCCCTCGATGTAATTATATGATTGTTGCTGACCTTCTTCAATGCTAGATGGTGCGTGAAGCAATATGTTTCGGGGCGCCATTGCAATGTTTGGAAAAGGCATAAATGGATCATATTGTAAATATAATTTATTTGCTTGAAGTCTAATCAAAAGTAGCCTTGAGCAAAGTTGTAGCTGATAAAATTACCGTTTAAAATCCGCACACATTCAAATTGCTCTAACTTCTGAACCGTTGGGTAATATTGATTGAAATTTTGCGTAGACATAGTTTAATGTGTATTGTTTACACTCCGTGATTTGATTTTATCAGGTGCGCAAAAGTCTTCAAAATGGCAACGAAAGAACAGTGCGTGCGCGAAAAAGTGTTGCACGAGTACTTTGAGAATAAGGATCTGTCGCATCGTGCCATCGGAAAAAAAAAGTTGGGAATCGCGAATTCCACGGTGTCTAGTATCATAAAACGGTGCGAAATACGTCTGACTGTTGATCGGAAGCGAAGATCCGAAAAAAAAAGCCATCAGGTCAACGAGAACGATCACAAACGCGTGCTTGGGGCCTTTAAACGGAAACCGAACTCCACAGCTCGAGATGTGGCTAAAAAGTTGCATGTGAGCAAGACTTTTGTGCAGCATACCAAAACTCGAGCTGGACTATTTACGTTAAAGGTTCAGAAGTCCCCAAACCATGACGAGAAACGCAGAAGTTAACGAAACCACACTGCTGCGTAATGGATGACGACACATATGTGAAGGCGGACTTCAACCAGATTCCAGGAAACCTGTATGTGACTGCCAAGGATAAGTGTGAAGTTCCCGAGAACCTCTGAATACAGAAGATGTCGATGTTCGCCAAGAAGTTCTTAATTTGGCAAGCGATTTGTACTTGCGGAAAGCGGAGTACACCTTTGGACAGGACAGGTGTATTTGTAAAAGTGTCTCCAAAAGCGGTTTCTTCCTCTCCTGAAGGCTGACGACGGTCGTCGTCGTCGGAGGACGTGCTACAGTGGTATAAGGCGAATGATGTCGATTTCGTGCCGAAAGATCTGAACCCCCCAAACACTCTGGAACTGCGCCCAATAGAAAAATACTGGGCCATTATGAAGGAGCACCTTCTAAAACGACCTAAAGTGGTGAAGAATGTAGGAGAAATGGAAAAAGCATGTCGTACAGAACCTTATGGCTGGGGTTAAGGCCAAGGTTCACGCATCCGGATATTAAGGTGAAATAAATTAAATGAATGATGTCAACACTATTATGTCAATTGGTTCTTTTTACTCCCTGAAAATTTGGTGACAATCGGATAAAAACTCGAATTTTGAAAATGAATTTTGTGTGTGCGGATTTTAAATGGTACATCCTTTATGAGCAGATAGTAAGCTTTTCCGTAAATTATTATCGTGAAGTGTTATGACGTTGAGAACAAAAAGTGAACTTTTCCCATAGTAATTCCCATATAAACTTCAAAGGGCCAGTGCAGTAAGAGTTCGCATTAAAATAAACTCAAATTTTGGGAGAATGATCAGAATCAGATCAGAATGATGAGAATCAATTGAACACATTAAGAAGAGAACATTTTGATGTTACTTTTACAAAATCCATGTTTGAAGTAATCGGGAGACTAAATCAGTGAACGTGTGTGATAATTGGAGAATATAAAAAGAATAAGCAGACATGTTATACTGAAGGTAAGTGGAACTTTAACACGTTCTTTCGCTGCCATCTGTCCCTAGCAGGCATGGAAAATCATTTGCATTCATTTCATACATTCATTTACATTCATTTGCCTCTAACTATTTTCATCAACAACATAGAGCTTTTGTAGGTTTTATTATTAACTACAACTTTTGCTCATAACTCAAATCTGTATCTCTTATGCATCACGAAGTAGAGCGGGCAGAACTTGTTACTGTTTTTCAGTGAATGTAAAATAGATTCACTGAAAAACAGTAGTGGCTTCTGTTCGCTTTGGTTCGTCATGCATCAGAGATACGGATTTGATTTGTTATCAAAAGTTGTAGTTAATAACAAAAAATACAAAAGCTATATACATCATTTTGCGGAATGCTGTTGAAGAAAAAAGTTAGAGGCAAATGAATGTAAATTAATGCACGAAATGAATGCAAATGATTTTCCATGCCTGGTCCCTAGTAACGTTTTTTTTCAGAAAAAAAAAACTTCTTTGTTCTACTCGTGCTTAGAGTTCCCTTCAAACACTTAATTAAGATGCATCTGTTGATTATAGTAATTTTAGGACACTATTCACGGAATCCATTTTCCATACAATAAAATACTACTTCGCAATTTCGCGGACACACATCTGGCGATCTACAAAGTTCATAATGACTCTATATGACTGCTGCAGAGAAGCAAGCATTTCATTTAGTTTTCACTTCTGTATGACTTCTGTATGGCGAGATCAGTGCCAGTGAAAACGCGAATTGGAGGGATTCCATGAACCTTCACCTTACATACTCATTCTTATTTCAAGCTCCATGGTCAACAACATTGAAATGTGTTGAACAATTTTGATAAACTTTTCACCAGTAACTCGTCAAAGTAAAATTTATGTTTAGTTAATCTATTAATGAACAATGCTTACCATTATGTTGCTGGTACTGATATCCTTTTCGATTTTCCTGTTTATCTTTTAGTGTGTTGTAAATGCTTTCATCATTTGCTTCTCCTATGGTGGATTGGTCCGAGGCCACAGCTGAAACATTCGCTATAAATTTATCTGTTAAATGTTCAACACCTTGATCTAAACATTATAATCTCACCAACTTTCAACGGTTTCGGAGGACCCACTGGACTGTAGCTAGGATAATCGATGTATTTTGTGCTATACGAATCATGGGATCTGCTGGTTCCCAAATTTATAGGCTTCGTGAGCATTCCATCGAAAATATTTCCAAAGCCCCCATTATTCATCGCCCGGCCAGTTCCCGCACTGGAATGATATCCACATGTTAGGAATATAAATAACCTTTGCAATCCACCTCATAGTTAATTAACCTTTCATCAGAACTATTCCTCAATGCAACATTTCTTTGCCTGGAAACGTTGCCGTATGCGCTGATCTCTATTACTCCGGCGTCTGCATGACTCACCAGCAGCACACCCAGAAAGAATCCATTTAAAGCTAATTTCACTTTCATTCTAGCCCTCTTCGTCACTTTTGACCAATGGAAAATTTCAACGCTCATAGTTCACTTTTCACTTCCAAATTGTACTACAACTCATTGTCTTTCACTGTGCTATCGGCCCGGTCGAAAGGTCAAACCCCTCGGAACTAGGTAATGCGTCCGTTTAGTGTGTCACCTTAAAATTCAATGATCGATTATGGTCGGGATGCTGCACAAGAAGAACCGTTCGCTCGACGTAGACACTGGCTATTATCTGGGTGATCTAGATAGAGGGAGAAATTTCATTTTCACTTCGCCAGAAAGGTGCTAACTATCGCCGCACATAGCACCGTGTCACAGTGATCCGAAACCGAGAAAACGTGATCGGTATTGATTGGAGTGGTGAAGCTCGATTTTGAGTATGTGGTGATGTTGGCAATTTTCTTCTTGGAATGCAAAGCTCTTTATATTCTCCGACCACTACCTTTTTGATGAGGTATTCCGTTAAAAGTGAAATGATGAATCTGTCCTTCTGAAGTGAGATTTTTGCAAACATACCAGAATTACAGGGTTGCTTCCACTCACTTGCTGTAAACCAATGTTTTTCGGAATTATGAAATCATTAGATGATGTAATGATATGTTGTACTTGTAAGTATCAAGAAGAGTGTGTAAAGTATGTGCTTGACTCATAAAACTTGTCAATTTCGCTTTCAAAGCGTCACAATCAGCGATCTTATGATTCGCGAGCGTTCACTCAGAGTGAGCGCTCACGAATCGTTAAATCGCTGATTGTGACGCACTGAAAGCAATATCGACAGGTTTTATGTATCAACTACATACTTCACAACCTCTTCTTGTAACTTACAAGTACTAATTACCATTATCACATCTAATGTTTTCATAATTCGGAAAAACATTTTTTTAGTGATTGGAAGTAACCTGGCAGATTAGATGTCCTAAAAGGCACGGCTGCGCCTAAAAGTAGGCAATTTCTTTTGAAATCGCAGTTTAATTTCTTGATATTGAAAACATTTTACCGTAATTTATTGAATAATTCGGATTCAGTGACAACTGTGTCCGTCAAATGCACTACTTTCAAGCTAATGACAACGGTGATGGGTTTAGGCCGATTGCCATTAGGCTGAAATTTTAATAATTGTTCCCATTTCATCAACTGGCATCTGTAGTGATACTGTTGATTTGTTTATTTATTTCTATAACCTCATCTAACGTTACTGTCTTAATGGGGGATACGATGGGGAAAAGCTTGTAAAGGGTGATACGGTCAAAATTTGGTCAAGGGAAAACGCGTGTAAATCGGTGAAATCGTTTATTTAAAAAATCAAATTAAATTTCTTTTTCAAGTTCAATTAGTATAAAATTCAGGAAAAATATTCAGTTAGGCTTCCGCTTTTCCAAATCCGAATTGCCGGGCCTTACGCTTGACCCCTGCCATCAGATTTTGTACAGCCACCTTGTCCACCTTCTTCGCCGCAGAAAGCCAGTTTCCCTTGAACTGCTGCTCGCCCTTAGCAGTTTTTTTGGTCTTCTTTAGGTTCCGCTTGACAATAGCCCAGTATTTCTCAATTGGGCGGAGCTCTGGCGTGTTGGGAGGGTTCTTGTCCTTGGGAACCACCTGCACGTTGTTGGCGGCGTACCACTCCATGGCCTTTTTACCGTAATGGCAAGATGCCAAATCCGGCCAAAACAGTACGGAACAACCGTGTTTCTTCAGGAAAGGCAGCAGACGTTTATTCACACACTCTTTCACGTAAATTTCTTGGTTGACAGTCCCGGAAGCTATGAAAATGCTGCTTTTCAAGCCACAGGTACAGATGGCTTGCCAAACCAGATATTTCTTTGCGAACTTTGACAGTTTCATGTGCTTGAAAACATCTGCTACCTTTCCCCTTCCTTTTGCCGTATAAAACTCCTGTCCCGGAAGCTGCTTGTAGTCGGCTTTGACGTAGGTTTCGTCGTCCATTACCACGCAGTCAAACTTCGTCAGCATCGTCGTGTACAGCCTCCGGGATCGCGCTTTGGCCGTCGTATTTTGTTTATCATCGCGATTTGGAGTCACTACCTTTTTGTAAGTCGATAGTCCGGCTCGTTTTTTGGCTCGATGCACGATTGTAGACGATACACCCAGCTTATTTGCGGCATCTCGGAGAGAGAGGTTAGGGTTTCGCTTGAAACTACCGGCAACTCTCTTTGTCGTCTCAGCGGTTTCCGGGTTTCGATTTCCCCCCGATCCAGACTTCCTGGCTGTCGACAAACGTTCCTCAAACACTTTAATTACATTTGTAACGGTTGTTTTGGCAACTTTTAGCGATTTTGCCAACTTTGCGTGCGAGTAGCTCGGATTTTCGCGATGCGCGAGCAAAATTTTGATACGCTGCTCTTCTTGCTTGGACGGCATTTTGACAACTGAAAAGTGAATTCCAAAATCAAAATAGGAGCAACATTCTACACACACACACCTTCAAAATGAGGGGTGTTCAGGTTTTTTAAATGCAAAATTGAAAGAAATACGTCAAGTTGATATTGACCAAATTTTGACCGTATCACCCTTTATGGATTAACCATACAGAAGGCTCACTAAAAAAGGCGAAAAAACCCCAAAATCTTTGAGAAAATAATGAGCAGTAAAAAAAGGCGAAATTATTCTGGAGCACATTCGATCAAAGGATCTAGTATAAAAGAGAAGCGGATTCAAAACAAACTGCCTTGGCAACCTATGCATAAGTGGTTTCTAGTAACATTGCCAATAAAACCAAGATAGGCACTGCATGATTGATTCTGGCTTTGACAGTTCGTTCAAAGCCAGTAAGCCCGCTCCTCTCTTATACTAGACCCTATTTTATTTTATCCAAGAGGTCTCGTGTAAAGGGTGTATCCGATAAAATTGACACACACATATTTACTCACCAACATTAAAACAATTATCGGATTTACTAATGAATTGTGATTTACAAAATTTGTTTTATTCAATTTCGTCTCCCATCCTGAATGCCCGCACTTTCCTTTTCACTCCACCCATCACATTTTTACAAACGATTTTCCCAGTGTTTTCGTTATTTTTACCCAAATTTTCTTCAACTCGAGCTCTGTTTAAATAGTTTTGGGATGTTTACGAAGTTCCGTCTTCATAATTGCCCAGAATTTTTCAATTGGCCGAAGTTCCGGTGAATTGGTGCGTTCATATCTTTTGGCACAAAATTTACTCCGTTGGCTCGGTACCACTCCAACACGTTTCGAGCGTATTGGCAGGATGCTGGATCAAGCCAAAACTAAGTTGATCCTTTTTTGCTTCCTTATAAATGACAAGAGACGTTTATTAAGGCACGCTTCTGTGTAAATCGTACCGTTTATTGTTCCGGCAGTGATGAAGGGAGCGCTTATTTCACCACATCCGCAAATCGCCTGCCAGATCAGGAACTTCTTTGCAAATTTCGAAAATTTATTCTTTCGAAAATCCTCCCGAACATCGAATTTAGACTTGGCAACGAAATATTCTTGCCCAGGAAGCTGATGGAAGTCGGCCTTGACGTAAGTTTCGTCATCCATCACGACGCAACACGATTAGGTAAGCTACTTCGTGTAAAGTTCCGGGCGCGGGTTTTCGCAGTGATGTTTTGCTTTTCATTCCGGTTTGGGGCTTTTTGAACCTTGTAAACATGTAACCCAGTATGCGTCATGGTTTTCTGCACAAAACCGACTGACACCTTAGACTTTTTAGCGGCATCTCGAATTGATATGTTTGGACGGTTGTTGAACTGTTGCACCAATTTGCTGGCCATTTTACTGTTCATTGGACCACTTTTACGATCACTCCCTCCCTTCCTTCGGGCACTCAGATGCTCCTTGAAGGTTTTTATCACACGAGACACAGTTGTATTTGCAATTCCAAGTTTTTTAGCGATCCATCGATGGGACGCCTCTGGATTTTGATTGTTAGTGCAAACGATTTTTTCACGGACGATTTCTTGTTTCAACGACATGACTGGAACTACTGTATGAATAGCTATGTATGAATAACAGATGTTAACAATACACTATGAATAATATTTATTCAAATTTTCAGGTTTTTTACTCATACGGTTCAAAAGTTACAGAAGATTTTCGGTGTGCCATTTTTATCGAATACACCCTTTAATATTTAAAAAGGGCCTGTCATCCTTTGTAAACAAAATTTGTAACGCCCTTTTCAAGCGAACCGAAGCTCATCCACGCAAACACAACAATACCATCGGGCAGGGGAAACTATCTTCTTCCCGGCAGTATTCTTGATTTGCGTAGGCGTGCATCAGATCACGCGAAAAGGGCACCCAAGTACAAGTTCTGTTTACAAAATATTATAGGCTCTTTGCAAATGTTTCGCGAAATGTCATGAACTATCACTTCATTTAATCATTCATTATTTTTTTTCTCACAGTAATTTCCATATAAACTTCAAACTGTTTGTGCCAAGTCACTTTCTAACCAAATGAGTTCAAATTTTGGGAAGCTGATCAAAAGATAAAAATGGACGAACTCACCAAAACGTAGCCAATTGAACCTAAAGGCAGATTGACATGTGTTGATGTAGAAGTCTAAATTTTAGACGGTTCGCTTGAGTTCCCTGAACTAATTCGGTTTGTGGTAGAGTTTGCACGGAATGTTTTCCCTCGACATGAAATGAAAGATGTTCAGATGTAGCCGATTTTTGATGTGCAATGCGAAGTCTTTCCGTGGCCAATAGCCAGATTTAGCGCCGCGACTCAACGTAGGGACAAATGATGGGACGTCGATGGCCCCATGGAGGTTCTACTTGGCTTCGAAAGAGCTTGTCAGCGGCAAATACCAGGGACGTAGAGCTAGATAGAATGAGATGCAGCTCTCGCAGGACTTCTTCTGTCTTAGTGAACTCGCTGAGGAACTGGAAATCGTAACCTGGGCCTGGTTTTGATCAGATCAGCAACCGATTGTAGAAAAAAAAAACAAATGTCACGTTTGACACACGCACAGCGTTCTCTCGAATCCAACCATTTAAGGACCAGCCTAATTATAAAATTGGACAAAAGAAGCAAATTTGTATGCTGAACAAATTCACAGAAGACACATATCCT